TCACATGAGAGACCTCAAATATCCCACCTCCACATGGCAACCTGGGGGGAGGAAAGTTCTGTCAGGACAGAAAGGGGGAACAGCCGCCAGCAATTATATATTCCCAAGCAGATAATAGTCCAGGTGATCACTGGTCAAATAAAAACAAAGGTAGAAGGGACGCACTGCAGCTACTGACTGAATTCTTGGTCGAGATGGAAATGCACAGCAGCATAATATCCATGTCGGGGTGGGATATTTGAGGCCTCTCATGTAACATCTCTAGTCTCCCATATTCGATATAGTCATATGGTCACTATGTATTGTATCACCATTTTTAATGGAATTTAATAAATATTTAGTTTTTACTTAATTAATAACATTTTAGTATGTTTAGTTTATCTTTAAAAATTGTACATTGCAGTGACTCGTAACAAAATCAGAGTGCATTATTATCAAAATCAGCAATTTTGTTACTAAAACAAGCTTAATGAAACTTCCCACTTTGATTGGCATAATATTACACCATCATATTCAGGATCTTTACAATATGCTACAGAAAACCTCTAATCAGTAGTCTCTAGAGCGCAACTGATGACTGCATGTGGTAAGTATGAAGTATCCATATGCCATATTTCACATTTATCTGACTTTATCTAACCCTGAACATACAGTATATGAAGGCATGTATACAAAATAATTTCTGTTTAAACTCATGCAAGGAGTCAGGGGCATGTTTATATTGGCATAATGCTATGTATAAGCACAAGAGGGTCATTTTATGAATAAAGCTGCAATCTTAGAGGAAGTTAGTCTCATTAGTTTTCTCAATGATCTTGTTTTTGTCTTTCTGTGTGATAAAATTGATTAATCTCCCCCTAAAATTCTGCATTCAGGCTTCTTAACACCAAAAAGTTTGCAATGTTCTCAATTCACTAAGCTAAAACCTTCCAATAATAGTTCAAGTTTCGTTAGCTTCCATTAATAGAAATAAAAATTCATTATTGCAGATTACAATTGCCATAGCTTACTGAAATGAGCCTAATGCATGAAGTCACCTGTACAAGGCTATAATGCAATTCTAACATCACCAAAAAATGAAACATAGAATTCAAAATCCATCCAGGGAATTACCATTAAGTTATGTTAGTGTTGCAACTAATCAAATTACAGTCCAAAAGTGGACCTGAAGGAGAACAGTCTAAATACTAGACTGTGGGAATCCCTCCCGCAGTGCTATTGTATTCTGCCGGAAGGGAGCCTAAAGCTGATGGCACTGATCAACTAGGTGGCCCATACATGGATCAAAATTCAGCCAGTCCCTGTTGAGTTCAATCCATGTATGGCTGTCTTAAGATTCTACAAAGACCCTGTCACTCCGTTAGGTTGACAAATTGTAGGGGTATCCTCAGGCCTAAAATTATTCCCGTATTATGAAGGCTACCTTAAAAATAAAGCAATACCATCCTCAGGTATATTAATTGCTTAAAGTTGACCACCAGAAAAAATACCTAGCTAAACAGAGATAAAGTTCACATAAGAGAGTTGTTTTACCTGCCAAAGGATTTGTATTTCTGTCCATCCAGTCCTGCAATTTAAACAGCTTTAACACACAGCCTGGATGCCTGACTGGTAGGGTATGAGACCTGATTGTGATTTGCCGCAGTTAAGTAATACTTACAGATGTTGCTTAAAAAAATAATAATGAATGAATTATTGAATACAGAATAGCATTAATACAGAATTAATACAGCATGTATTAATACAGCATTTATATCTCCTTGGAAATCAGCTTTAACAATAAAAAATTATGTATACATTAGATATAAATTAAAATCAGTACTGTTTACATTCTCTGCACAAATTCACAAACATTAGAAAATATTCCAGAAAAAATGGCCTAGACAGAGAAAATTTTGAAAGTACCACATGTACACCATCACAAACAATGAGTACTGCAATGAATTCCAGAACTTAACTAACGCATCCAAAGATTGGCAGATCTCTCCCTAAACATCAATCTTAAGCCTTTTACACACAATGAGAATATCGAATGAATGATCATCCAGTTTTGTTTGCTTGGTTTCTAAAATTACTAAAATTCTCATAGGACAGAAAAAAAATTCAATGAATAAAAAGTGATGTCATGTATTGTAATGTATTTGTGTTGTATTTTCGGACAAAAACTGTACTGATTAAACGAAAATTGTACGATCTGCTTTCATACAAGAAATATTTTTATGTTTGCCCCTTCAAATAATTTCGGACAAAAGCTATGTACTAATGATCTGATTATCCTACTATCGCTTTGAACGTGGTATTTTTGTATGATTTTCTGATCGTGTGTGCTAGGCTTTAGTGTTCATTCACATAGGCAGTCAAGGACGTGGTTGAAACACGCAGTTGAGTCTTGGTGTTATGGTTTTCCAATCGCCCACCTGAACACAGCCATGCAGTCACTCTGGGCTGTACAAATACTGCAGCTGCTATGGGGTGCTTTGCAGCCATGGAAAAAATTAGACCATTGCCGAACTCAATGCATGCAAGTGTATGGGGCTGTGCCGTAACCGTCCTAAAACCATGTGCAATGCATGTAATTTTGCAGTATGTACAGGGTTAAATCAAACAGTGAGGAGGCAAAATATCACCTCCTCACCACGTGTCAAACAGCCCTCAAAAGCAATCCACCACGGAATGCTTTTCAGAGGGGCAGCAAACCTTTAAAGTGTTACTAAACCCACAACAGTAAAATCAGCCTGTATATCCAGTAAATCATGCTCATTATACTCACTGTGGAGCCTAAGGGGTTAATCCTCTGCATTGTGTAAAAAGGCTGTTTGATCCTGACTGCTCTGTTCCTCCCTTTGTTCAAGTGACCACCTCTTATCTCCTGATAAGACAGACTGAATGATAGGCATTTTTCACATGCTTAGTTTGGTGTGTATTGCTAGAGAAGTTTTTTTTTTCTTGGGAGAAAACTCCTACAAGCTTTAACTAGTGATTGGCTGGACACTGATAGAAGTCACAAGACTGCTGTAACTGCTGTTGAGAAAAGGTATTTAGCAGTTTATATTTACTAATTACGCTTCCATATAGTGTGTACTGTGGGAGACCAGATATAGTGAATGCAGGGTCATGGGTTTAGTAACACTTTAAGGGGACATCAGACTGTCTATGGGATTCCTTACTGTGCTTCCTGTTCAAAAATCTATTGACATACTGCACCACTATTGCAGAAGATGAGGTTTTTATTTGCATAGAAGCACTAAATGTAGATGAATGTAGATTAATGTTTTGAAAGACTTCCTAAAACGAATGTTTCTAGTATCTTTCATTGTCTTAGCTTGTTCTTTCAGGTTTAGGGTATCCAGGACTGAACTAGCTGAATCCCCCACTACACTACAACAGTATAAAGCTCTCTCCTGTAGAAAGCATGTTGTTTGCAACTAACTCTGTTTGTAATATCATACCTTTTATATATGAAATTGAAGCAGCATTAAAAACTGTAATATATTGCAGTTTACTAATCATTAGATGTGGTAACTGCATTCGTTTTCTTTTTTTGGCTTTTTTCCCCTCTGATTTCACCTGGTGATCTAGCCAGTAGCACACCTCTTGTATTAGAGTGCCCGAACTCTGGATGAAGGAGCACAGCTTTAGACATTAGCATTGTCAGTCTGACGGAAGGGAATGTTAGATGTACTAGCAGATTTAAATACACTAACAAATTGAAGCCACACTAAAGCTAATACTTTACAAGCAGTCACCAGTTTGTTTTTCCTTTTGGGATAAAGTTGTTGTTTTTTAAATAAATAAAAGCAGGTCATTGTAAGCATCCCTGTCTGTGGCAAATGTAACTGATACATTCTGAGGGAGAGCTTGTTCTTTTGAAAAACAACAGACTTACTGCCTGGGTCACCAGAAAAGAAAATGAATGCAGCCACCATGTTTAAGAATTAATAAGCTGCAATATAATAAATGTTTGCTTTTGGAGTTTAATACCACTTTGAGCTTGACAGTTAGGGAAAGATTTACTAAAACTCGAGTACTCAGAATCTGGTGCAACCGTGCATGGCAGCCAATCAGCTTCTAATGTCAGCTTGTTTAATTAAACTTTGACAATAAAACCTGGAAGCTGATTGGTTTCCTGCACCATATTTTGCATGCTCCAATTTTAGGAAATCTCACCCTTATTGTCCATTACTTTGATTATTTTGAGTTTTCTTGAAAATAAGATATATTTCTTGACTGTTATAGTGGAAAATGTTTAATCTAGTAGTTTTAGGAGTTTTGGATATTTGAAAAAACAGTCTACAATCAGCAAGAGTGTTTTCCCTCTGAAATCAAAGATATTCATAGTCAACTAAGTTTATTTTTTATTGGTTAGTTTATTTTTTCTTACATTTTCCACCATCTGTTGAGTTTGGGGGTACTATTTGTTAAAGTAAATTTAGAATAATAATTGTATGAAAAAGCAAATCATATGTGTTGTACATATAGGTTAATGAAAAGTAAGTGGACACATACGTAACATTGAGCCTGGGTTCACACTGATGTGGTGCAGAATTCGCAGCACTTTCTGTGCCGCGTGCCAATTCTGCACCGCATCAGAATTGCACCCTGTTCATGCGAACCGCTGCGGGTGTGGTTAACAACATCCCAAAATCAGTCCAAAAAAACGCTGTGCGATGTGCAAAATAGGATCGCATAGGTGTGAATAACCATGCTATTCGATTCTAGTGCAGACTTAAAAAAGGGTCCTGCACCTTTTTGGTGCGGGTGCGGTGCGATTAGAGCCATACATAATGTATTGCTCCAATCGCACCGCACACAATGCGGTGCGGTTCCTGTGCGAATCACATGTGATGTACTGAGCCACACGTATGTGAACCCCGGGTTAACTCAATATAGAATTGTAGTAAATTATTCTGCTACCTTGTGATACTGAATGCATGTTGTCAGACATTTATTACAAATTACCGAATTTCATCTGTTTTTTTTTTTATGTATATATTTTGTAGCATGATGATTTGGATCCATTTCATGATGCCATGGAAGATAGAAGGTACCCTGGTGAAGTTACAATTCCAAGCCCTAAACCCAAATATCCTCAGTGTAAAGAGAGCAAGAAGGACTTAATAACGTAAGCACTTTATAACTCTGAAACTATTCTTAACTTTTAATTTTTGTTTGGGTTATTTGGCAACTTATTAATTAGAAGACTAAAGTCGATCCAAACCCCAAATCCATGTGTCTCATAAACGATTGGCGTGTTTTTGTTTTCTTTTCATAAAATACTTTTACTCATTTTTGGCATCTCAGTCCTGCTAATATCCTCCAGCCTCTTCCTGCAACTTCCTGTTAACTCTAACATTGGTCTCATGTCATTGTAAAAAAAAAAACCCAGCTTTCTGATGGTGACAAGGATGAACCATGCCTGCCCAACTTGTGTTGGCATGGCCATTAGTGGTTTCCACCATGTGACTGAGTGACCATAAAAGAGCACAATTTGGAGACAGTTGGCACCCTATATCAAGAAGTGCCTGAACAAGAACCAGGATCACCAGGTATTATTTAAATGAAAGATGCAGGTTTTTAAAAGGACAAGAAGCAATTTTTTTATAATTTTAACTCATTGGCGTTGAAAGGACACATATATGTGGCCTCTCGGCGGGTGGGCCTTGACGCAGAGAAGCTGCATATATGCGTACCAAATTGTAAACACAGCTGTGCCGAGAGTGCGCACCCTGCACATTCCCAGCACAGTTACCGGCAGCTAACATAAAGCTTTCCGATCATGTGACAGCTGTGACAGCCAATCACAGCAGTCACATGATCATAAACCTTGTCACAACTCTTAACATCTGAGACCTCTAAGGAGGATTTAACATATAATTTATGTAATTCCTGGGATTTTAGTCCTTGAATATATCTCTAATTTAAACATCGTAAGTTATTGTTTTCATGCTATAACTGGAAGACAGCTCAGAATCAGAAAACTTTTTAACCTGAACTTTTAGGCTCTGTTCACACCAATGCGCTTTTTAGAGCTTTTTTACAGAAACACACTACAGTCCATTTAACATGGTTTCCTATAGGACATGTTTACATCTATGCTTTTTGAGCTGCTGTGTTTTTGGAAAGGGTCAGGGACTTTTTTAAAAGCATAAGGTCAAGTTCACATACGTGTAGCCCTGCGGGCTGCAATTTGCGGGGCACGAGAGCCCATTCACTTGGATGGGCTTCCATTCCCCGGGACACGCAGGGAAGAAGTCCCTGCACTACTTGGGAAATCGCAGCTCACACGGGAACCAAGCTTCTCAGTACGGTTGTGATTTCCAGTGTGGGTAATGTGCCGTTAGAATTAATGGCACCTACCTGTGGGTCCCGCATTCCTCTGTATGGGTGATGTGGCTGCAGGTATTTGTGTGGGTCCCGCAGCAGCACCACCCACACAGATGTGAACCAAGCGTAAAGCAGTGTTTTTGCTACAATAGAGTTCAATGGAGAAGCTGCTGAAATGCATGGTAGTGTGTTTGTGCCATGTTTCGCATTTATATTCTGCCCAGCAACAAAAAAAATTCCACTTTAACAAAAAAAAAAGCAGTAAAAATGTGGCAAAAAACACATGTAAACAAAAGCAAAACAAACTGCAAAAAGCACTGGAGAAAGAATCAAACGCAAAATACATATCTGTGAACCAAGCCTTACAATTTACCTACTTCTTCACATGAAAACATATATTTTCTTGCAGATTGTCTGGCTGTCCATTGGCTGATAAAAGTATTCGTAGCATGATGGCCACCAGTTCACAGGAGCTCAAGTAAGGAATCATGTTGTCTTTTTTTCTTGTTACTCTATTATTAGCAAACTTTTCTTCCAGCTTTAAAAAATGACCCATTAATAGTGTAGCTTACAGATTTGGTCTCATATACCTTGAAAGACAAATTAATATTTTACCTTTGCTGTGTCAGAAATGCCATCTGCAGTATGGAAATTAGATGATTTGTGGAGCCAGCAAATATTGTCTAAAGTAGAACTGTAGATAAAACTATTTATTTTCAGCTTTACTAGAGTGAAGCTAGTCATAGATAAATCAAAATCTTGGCTGGTTTAGCAGGGATCAGCTGAGATCTAATCCATCTACGGGCAAGCTGGTTGTACTGAAGTTGATCCAGCCAGCCTGTTGGATTTATTTCATGTGATCACTGCGAGTGGCTATAGGCAGCATCAGTAATCATTGTGTTTACTGCTCCCCTCCAGTAGAACACAATACTGCTGTGGGAGGGATTCCCCCATCAACACTGACTGACCTATTGTGGAAGGAAATACATTTGTATAATATATGGCTTGCTTAAGAGAGGGTTGTAACTCCTGTCAGTTTAATTGGGGTGGGGGTTTGCAATTTGTGTCCCACTGGGGGGAGATTTCCATTCACTTCCTGTCTTATAACAGGAAGTGTGATAAAAAATCACCAGAACTAGTGTCTCCATTTCCCTTCTATTTCTGTTCTAGGTGCCAAACCAAAATTTGGCTTCGTCTTTCACTTTCAGTTATATTGGTAAACAGGAAAAAAAGAGAGGGTGAATTTCTCTTACAGGGAAACAGACAGCAATAATCACCTGATAGGTGTTCTAATCATAACCAAATTGCCTTTAGTTATACTTTTAATGTATGCATAATGAGTCCCCCAAATTAGATTCAATACTGTTTATTAAAAACTGTGTAAAGTTTGATAGAACTGCAATGTTTCAAGCTATAGTGGCCTATTACACTGTTCAACAGGTAAAACGTTTTGGGCATAAAATTAGCTAATCTTACATAATTTTGGGGTGCTGAAAACGAAAATGACCCTAAAAAATGTTGATTGGCTCTAGTTTCCATGATATATTCACCCATCTAATGACGTAAGCCATTCAAAATTATGATGCAACTTCAGCTGCATATTGCGCAATTGATACTGGTGACCAATAGAAAATTGCATGTATACTGAGATGATGCAATATTAGCCTTTAATTGCATCACTTCACTGCATAAAAGCTGCAGTATCTGTAGCTGATTGTAGTTCGACAGCGTCTTTACATTTTGTTTTATGCTTATATAGGCTACTCAGTAATGCCTCGAACTTGTGTGAATAAAGCAGATAATTTCTGCTATATCTGCGGTGAAATAACTTTTATCTCACAAAAAAGGAGGATAACAGGAATGATTAAGAAAGCCTACAACTTGTATTTTGGCTGCAAGATAGGAGACCAGGACAAGAGCTGGGCACCACATATATGCTGCAATTCTTGTGGGACGGCACTGGAGCAATGGTTGAATGGAAAAAAGGCATCTATGCCTTTCGCTGTGCCAATGATTTGGAGAGAGCCAACAGATCATGTTAGTAATTGTTACTTTTGTATGGTGCCTCCAATTGTAAAAGGGCTAAATAAGAAGAAAAAGTTATCTGTGCACTATCCAAATATTCCATCGGCAATACGTCCAGTTCCTCATGGAGAGGGGCTACCAATTCCTAAAGCACCAGAATCCTTCGTGGTTGAGTCAAGTGAGGAAGAACCTGAAGCGTGTAGTCACGTGCAGTTGTAAGAGATAGCCCTTTCCTCGAATACAAGAGAAAAGCCAAGAGAAGCAAAACTGACACAAACTGAAGACAAAACTAGTGAGAATCCTAAGTATTAAAATGATTCAACTTAGCTTATGGCTATAATTTTTCTTGGTAATCCTATGCAATATATTATGCCATTTAGGCTTTGTTATGTAGTCAATATCACTTGCTTTATATTTGTGGAAAGACATCTATCTATATAATTATTGTGCATTATGTAGTCATTACGCCTATAGTAGAAAACTTTCCGTTTACAGAAAAACTAGAGCCAATTGACAAATTTCATTGTTATATTTGAACTCAGAATGTGAAATTCATTAAGAAATGGATCCTTTTGTTTCCAAAACTGGCAAAAAATAAAAATTTGTTGAACAGTGTTATCAGTTTATAAGTAATCTAAAGAATTATAACATCATAAAAACCTAAAGATGCACCCGACACTGACTGGTATATACAGTAGCTTTGATGCACAATCAAACAAACTAGAGAAAATACAAAGGCAATAAAGCTAAAGTCAGTAAGGCAAGCTGTAATAACCAAACACAGCTGAAATGGATCAATACTTTCTGGAATCTTAAAGGAGAAAGACAGCCAAAGCTCATTTGGGTGTAGTTCTCCTGTGGATCAGTGGGCTGAAGCCCACTGTTGGCTGACGTCACTCCACTGGTCCAGGCTGGGGAACAATCCCAACCTTAAAGTTGGGATCCATCTCAGAGTCTGGAAAGGCACCTGGTTCAGCCTCTCAGCGATCTGCTGAGAGCCTGAGCCAGTTGCACCCTCCCCCTCCACAGCGCAGCACTCCAGTGAGAACTGGGGGGGCAGAGCAGACTGAAAGTCACCACTCTCTGCTCAGAGAGGCTGTGAGAACATAGAGATCAGTGGTCATGTGATCACTGAGTTCTCTCCCGTAGAGCCAGTGAGGGAGAGATGCAGCATCAGACTGATGCTGCATCCACCTAGGTAAGTGTGATTTAAAAAAAAAAAAAAACAAGACCCCATACTTCTCTTTTAGTCTCCTTCTAAATGCTGCAACAACCAACAGGCTCAGGTGGACCTTATGGAATGTATGCCCAGTACTGGCCAATTCACAGGGATGTCTAAACAAGAAATCAGGCAAATATGAAATATTGCATATTAATAATTTTGTACAAAAAATCTTGGCAGCTTCAAGGACCCAGCATACTATTTGCATGGTCTCTGAAGTGCAGTGTTATTACATATACCAGTATTTATCAACACCCGAAACCTGCTCTGTGAACTGCAACAGATTGCATGTGAACTTGACTTTAGGAAACAGCAAAGAATAATAAAGTGTCTCCCTAACAGCACTTTACTGAACACAATACATCTAAAAAAAAAAAAACAAAACATAGCACTTGGATTCTATATCTGTATATTGTAACATGTTTTTTCCTTATGTAATCCATATCAGTCCATAGAGTAGGTTTTGTAATTTGATTAGTACTGATTATTTTTTTATTCTCATATGCAGCCAGTAGGTAGAGCTCTTAACATTTTTCCACATGTTTTTTTTTTTTTTATTTTTTCACTCCATGTTTTCTGAATGATCAACACTGTAGATCACAAAGTGGGGCTATCCAAATAATCATTACAGCACACAAAATTAAAGTTAGTGGCACATGTTCAAGATGTCATAGTAGTAGCCCTTCTCATTCTCTCCACCTCCTTATCTCCATAAGAAGTTTGGAGATGTACAATATAAAACAAAAGTTTAATAACCTATCACTATATAAAAAGTTTTAAAAAATTGACCCAAAGCTATTATCGTTTCTTTCTTGACTTGCATGGCCTTGAACGTCTTTGGCCTGAAAGTTGTGCTGAAACACTTTTACCCTATGCTTTCCAGCCCACCATAATTACTTATTGGCCTTACTGAAGTGTATGGGGATTTCTCAGCCAACTTCTTAGCAGCAGAATATAGTACAGAATGGCAGCAGCAACTCAACTTTCAGTTTAAAGATCTCTGAACCAGGACCATTGAAGTAAGCCTAGTGCATATTATTGCACTCACTAGTCACTTTGAATTCCTGGACATATGCATCAATCACTTTGCTGAAGCCACATGTGTAGTATACACAAAATAAAAATTTGTTACCTAAATTGGGATGTGTTACATTAAATTAAACCCAACACCCCGGTACTGCATGGCTGAAATGCGATCTACTAAGACACCGTATTTTTGTTTTTCTTCTATGTTGGACTAAGCTGTCTGATATTTGAATGTGTAGCGGTAATGGCACTTGAAGCAATAGTGTGAAATTGAATCTTTGCAATATCCAGGGCATCATAAAGCTTTGTGCCTGCTCTTGGCCGCTTCACTCTTCATTTCCATCCGTTTTACAACTCTCCATAAAATGTGGCGATTTTTCCATCTGGATTTTACTTTTCTTTAAAGCAACGAGTTTAATGCCCCTTATATCAAGTAAATAAAATGCCCCAGTGTCGTGCATAAGGCCTACCATGGCATAACACCTTAGCGAATGTATTTTATCCTGCAATAAAAGTAATTTGCTGAGCACTGCTGTGAAAATGACCATTATTTATAAGGAAAACATATCCTGTAATATTCAGGATGTTCAGCTTTGTTTCATTGTGTCTCATGTCACCCTGTGGTCACATAAATAAAATACCTTGCATACTATTTGTTTCTTTCTTAAACTACAGCATACTGTTCATTATTTTAATTTTTTCAAGGAAAATGGTTCAGAGGGAGAACAGATTAAACTGCAGTTTTTACAATGACTTTGTGATATTTGGACCAGCGTGGGGAAGCAGAAGAGACCCAATCCCCAATCTAGATCCCTGACCCATCAGCTCTTTCAATCTTCATTCTTGGTGCAGCTAAATACTGTATCTCATTTTTCAGAGGCTGGTCTAGATATCATGAGCAATGTACTGTCAATGAAAGGTCAGTTGCAAGAGAGCAAAAAGTGCTTGTAAAGCCAAAAATACTTTTTAGCATAACATTTCAAAATATATAAAAGTTAAAGCCCTGCCTCAAATAAAGTTAAAATATTTACCAAAAACGTTTCAAAAGTTCTCTCTGGTTTAATTTATCTTTTTACAGGTTCCTACGCTCTGCCATCTGCCACCTGTACAGTGAGAGCATTTCGTCTGTCATTAATAGTGCTTAACAGGGGAAGACTGATAGGGTTTAGACCAGCAGTTAAGTATGTCAAATCCCTAATAACTAA